GAGGGTTCAGGAGAGGGCAGGGGTCCTGGTTCAGGAGAGGGCAGGGGTCCTGATTCAGGAGAGGGTTCAGGAGAGGGCAGGGGTCCTGGTTCAGGAGAGGGTTCAGGAGAGGGCAGGGGTCCTGGTTCAGGAGAGGGCAGGGGTCCTGGTTCAGGAGAAGGGTTCAGGAGAGGGCAGGGGTCCTGGTTCAGGAGAGGTCAGGGGTCCTGGTTCAGGAGAAGGTTTCAGGAGAGGGCAGGGGTCCAGGTCTAGGGCACGCTGGGGGTCCAGGGCCCCTGGATGTGCTGGCTCTGCAGGAGCCTCTGCAGCTCTTTGAACTGCTCCACAGTCCGGTCCTTCACGTCTGGGTTGGAGATCTGGAGCCGGATGCTGTCTGTAGACCAGCTGAGTTCCCCAGAGAACATCTCCGTGAGGATCCGGGCCACCACTGGGACCACCTGAGGACCAGGACCAGAAGCATGTTAAACAGGTTTACATCTCTGTGAGGATCTGAGCCACCACGGGGACCACCTGAAGACCAGGACCAGAAGCATGTTAAAGAGGTCTCAGTCACTATGTGGTACTGAAGAGCCCCCCAAAGGAAGAGGAACAGACCTGGACGATGATCAGTTTCTTCTCTTTGGGTTTCTTGTCGGGCCAGTCCTCACCGAAGCAGAAGTAAACCTCAAATGGGGGCGGGTTCGGAGTCTCGCCCCTCTGGAACAGGATCAAGCCTGGGTACAGAAACAGGTTTAAGACCAGCTGAAGGGGGTAGAGGTCTGGACCGCTTCAGGGGTTCTTCAACCTACCTTGCAAGAAGTCATTGAGGCTGAAGACCCGGACCTTCTTCTCGCGCTCCAGAGGGTTGGGGGGTCCGGGTTCGGAGGTCCCGGGCACGGACCAGAACACCTTGCACTGGCAGAGCCGGACTGCGTAGAGGTCCTGCTCCCAGAGCTCCAGGATCAGGCCTCGGTCCATGACGTCCAGGAGGGCGTCGGTGTAGAACTTCTGCTTCTGGTTCTGGATCTCGGAGGTCCCAGGGAACTGGACCTGCTGCAAGGTGACGGGCCCGAACAGCTCCACCTGGTCGGGACTGGGCTCCAGGTGACCCGCGTACAGCCGACAGCCCTGAGGGTTGGAGACCAGCAAGGAGGCCGCCGTCCGGCCCCGGTACTGGACCTTCAGATCCAGGTCTGTCACTGCAAGAACACACAAACAAGACCAGGTTCTGGGCTATCAGATCCAGGTCTGTCACTGGAGGATCACACAAACAAGACCAGGTTCTGGACCTGAGACCCCCCTCCCAGGACTCACATGGGACGCTGCTCAGCAGGTCGTATTTGCAGGTTTGGTGGTTCTGGCCCATGCTGCTGGCCTCCATCATGGGTGCGGGGGGGGGGTTCAGGTCCTGCAGGCCGTTACAGAGCCCCCCCCGGTCCTGGAGGTCCGAACTCATGGGGACCACCGGTCCAAACAAGGGGGAGTCGCTGATCCGGGGGTCTGAGGAGACATTGGGATCAGGATCAGAGTGCTTTACCATTTAGAGATAAACACAATGAGTCTGATCAGGAACCAGATCCAGGAGAACCTCCGGGTTCTGGTTCCTGTTGAACCTCAGGGATCCTCAGGGTTCTGGTTCCTGTTGAACCTCAGGGTTCTGGTTCCTGATGAACTGGATCACTTACTGAGGCTGAGCTCCATCATGTTGGGCATCTGAAGAGAAACAGAGAGTCAGTGAGTGTGTGTGTGTGTGTGTGTGTGTGTGTGTGTGTGTGTGTGTGTGTGTGTGTGTGTGTGTGTGTGTGTGTGTGTGTGTGAGAGTTTGTGTGTGTGTGTGTGT